CTACTTAAGCTCTCAAAATGAGTCAAAATAACTCTATATAATAGAGTTATCATATCTACATTCAACAACATGAGGGTTTCATTAAACCTAGAACTAAAGAGAAAGTTTGTAAGCTGGTGAAAGCATAATATGGTTTGAAGCATGCATCAAGAGCCTGAGATGCTCTAATTGGTTCTTTCTTGCTTGCAGAAGGGTTTCTAAGGAGTGCAAACGAATATACATTGTATGTCTACAAATCAAATCAACTAGTTAGACTGATAATCTCAATATATGTGGATGATCTCTTGATTACTACTGTTGATGACAATGTTCTATCAAATTGCAAAACAAAATTGATGAATGAGTTTGAAATGTCTAACTTGGGAGAGATGCACTATTTCTTGGGATTTCAGTTTATTAAGAGTGCATATTCAATTTGCATTCATCGGTGGAAATATGCTATTGAACTATTGAAGAGGTTTCACATGGAAAATTGTAAGTCTGTTGAGACTTTTCTTGTTTCCAATAGTAAGTTGAGTAAAGATAATGGAACTCCTAAGGTTGTAAGCTCGAATTACAGAAGTATCATAAGAAGCCTATTGTACTTGACTGCATCAAGACTAGACTTGATGTATCTTGCAAGCTTGTTGTCTAGATTTATGCCAAAACCTTCTCATAACCACTATTTGGTAGCAAAAAGAGTTTTGAGGTATATTAAAGGCATAGTAGATTATGGTTTGAGGTTTAAGAAAGACAAGAGTAATGAATTGATTGGTTTCTGTGACAGTGACTGAGCAGGGAGTTTGGATGATTCTAAAAGCACAAGAAGCTATTGTTTTTCATTTAGAAGTGTTGTTTTCTCCCATAACTCTAAGAAACAAGAGATGGCTGGACACTCTTCTGCTGAAGCAGAGTATATCTCAACTGCCTAAGCTGCAAATCAAGCCATTTGGATTAGGAAAGTATTGGGAGATTTGGGGTTTAAGCAGAAATAAGGAACACCTTTGATGATAGACAATCAATCAGCAATATCTATTGTTAAGAATCCAGTACATCGTGGGAGGACAAAACACATAAAAGTGAAGTTTCACTTCATCCGAGATGCTGTTAAAGAAGAAGAAATTTCTGTTCTCCATATGGTACATCGAAACAGATGGTTGATAAATTTACTAAGTGCTTGAATAAGGAGAAATTTATTTATCTTAGAGATCTATTGGGAGTCAGCCAGATGAATACCAGGGAGGTGTGTTGAAGAAAAATGATTTCATCTTACTGACAAGCAAAGTTACAAATTGTAGGTAGTAAAGCTTGCAGATTGAAGGAGAAGAAGTAGGAGTGCCATTTTAGTAGATGATCAAATCATTTCAGACTTAAAATTATTTACCAATTTTTTACTTTAGTTACCGTTAGAAGTAAATTTTTTTTTACTATACTATGTCATTATGGTTGAAAAGCTGTTAGGCTTGGCTAGCTATCTTGGGAATCTATGCACGGATCCCTGTGCAAGAGGCCATAGCTATTTTGAGAAGACCAGATGTCTTTCATTGGTTGAGAACCATGTCAATTTCTCTCTCATGTTACCACTTATAAATACCATTTTTCTTGTTCAATGAAAAGTATGATGCACATCGTTTAGTGCACATCAAAAAATATCTCTTTCTTTTTTCTCAATAAGTTTTTTATACCTCAACTCCTTTGTTCTTCAGTTCATCCATTTTTCTAGATTTCTCAGTTGCTCAATAGGTTTTAGCTCCTCTATACAAAATAGAATAGCTAAAGTGAATTTTGAACAGATGGGTGGTATTATTTTGCATGGAAAAAATGGAAAACCCCTTGATAAGAAGGGTTCAATTAAAGTCAACCAAACCTTTCTTAATAAGAAAGCTTTTAATCAACCAAAGGGACGTAATTCCAAGTCCAAAATGAATAATTCTAGACTTGAGCTAATTTTGGAGAATTAGAGTATTGGAAATGTTGCTCATGATATCTCTATGGTGGTGGATGTTCCACATTCAGACAAGTAAGTCAATCCTTTATTCTTTCTTTAAGTTTTTAATGGATTGTCTACTTCTTATGTGGAATTGTTAGGGTGCAAGTGATAGTAGTTTCACCAAAATCATGTTTGATTATGGGAAGTAATACCATTTGAATATGGTTGCACTATTAGAACCTTGTATCAATGGCATTTCTAGAGATAAAGTTATTGGAAAATTAGGTTTTGACAAGTTCTGTTGTGTAAAAGCAAAAGGACTTTCAAGTGAAATATGGGTTTTATGGAAAACAGAACTACGGGTTTGAATTATGTGGCAACCTTCACAATGCCTTTATCTATCTATTCAGCATCCGTCTGATACTTATTGGTTGTCGTGTATAATTTATGGGAATCTTGCAACTTCTCGAAGATGACTTTTATGGAAGAATTAGCTTCTTTCGCTTCTTCAATTACGCAACCATGATTATTGGTGAGGGACTTCAATGCATTTTTATTTTCACATGAGAAAGTTAAGGACTCTGTGAGAAGTCGTTGGCCATGCAATCTTTTTCAAAGATTAGTAAATAATGTTGAGTTATTGGATCTAGGGTTTTTTGGGCTTAAATTCACTTGGTCATGGGGACTAATCTCTAAACATCTAGATATGTTTACAGCAACAAAGGTGATAAATCTCGATATATTCAAACAGAAGAAGACTTTAGCTACCATTTTATTTCTTTACTTATGTCATTTGGTGTCTTTAGCTTGTTTGACTTTTCTTTCACTTTGTTCATCTGCCGTGGCTATTTACTTTTCTCACATGCCAGAATTCAGGTCTTAATTCATTGTATCTTTTTCAAAACTACATCGTTTGAGTAGTTGAGAAATGACTTGTGGCAGGAAATATCTCACCATTCCCATAGAATCTAAAAGGTTGTAATGCCAGGTGGTTTCTCCACCAGCTGGCTCTTTTTTTATTTTTATTTTTTTCGTCATGTATATAAAGTTTGTTACTAAGTATATGAAAGTGGCTATGCACACTGTTTTTGTGCTGACCTAATATTTTTCTCTTTCTTCTCCTTTGTTTATTCTTTTTGGCTCTCTTTCATCCATGTTCTTCCTATTTTCAGTTTTATCAATTTTTCAAAATGGTATCAGAGCCATCCTAAGGATCTTAACGGACTGACTAGTTATTTTTTGTAAATTTTCTTACTTGATTACTATGTACCTTTTTATCATTTCTTCATGGCAGCGGCTGGTTTCAACACACCAGCTCCTCCACCATTCACAGGGGAGAACTATCAGTACTGGGCAGTCAAAATGAAGACATACCTCAAAGCTTTTGATTTGTGGGATGTAGTTGAAACAGAAGGAGAACCGTCAGCAATGAGGCATGCGAATAAAACGATTGCTCAAATCAAGCAGCACTTTAAGGAAGTTGCCAAAAGGTATAAAGCATTATCTTTTTTACATTCAGTTGTGTCAGAATCTGTGTTTGCTAGGATTATGCATACTGATAGTCCTAAAGAGGTGTGGGATTTGTTGAGAAATAAGTTTCAGGGTAATGAGAGAACAATGTAGATGCAAGCTTTAAATCTTCAAAGGAAATTTGAGATGTTGAGGATGAAAAAAAAGAAAACTGTTCAAGAGTTTTATGGAAAACTCATGAAGCTAGTAAATCAGCTTAGACTTTTAAGAGAAGAGATAACTAAAAAAAGTATTGTTAATAAGGTAGTAGTCAGTTTGCCAGAAAGGTTTGATAGCAAGATTTCTTCAATAGAAAAGTCAAGAGATATTGCTAGACTTACTTTAAGTGAGCTCATCAATGCTTTAGAAGCTCAGAAATAGAGAAAGGCTTTTAGAAAGGAAGACTATACTGATAGTGCTTTGGTGGCTAAAACTAGAAATCTTAAGCTAGGCAATAACAGTTTTAAGAGAAATGAGTCAAATAGGAAGGATAAAGAGAAGAAAAATTCTGACAGTAAACCTAGAAAACAAAAACAGAAATACCAACCTTGAACATACTGCAAGAAGACTACTCACTTAGTCAAGTATTGTTGGTACAGGCCTAATGTTAAGTGTAGGGCCTGTAACTAACTTGGTCATGTGGAGAGAATGTGCAAGAATAAGGGTTCAAGCTCAAAGGAAAAGGCTGCAGTGGTTGAGCATGTGGAAGAGTCTGATGAAGTGTTGTTTGTGGCAAGGATGGTTGATGAATCAGCTAGAAAAAAAAGTCTAGTTGATTGATAGTGGTTGCTCAAATCACATGACTAGTGATAAGAGCCAATTTACAACTTTAGATAGAAAATTTGAGGCTAAAGTTGAGATTGATAATGGGGTATTTCTAGAGATAGTTGGTACAGGAACTGTACCTGTGGAGACTGACTCTGGTTATAAGTATATAACTAATGTTTATTTAGTTTCAGATGCTAATCAAAACCTCCTGAGGGTTGGTAAACTCACAAAAAGCCATTATGCTTTGTTGTTTAAAGACAGATTTTGTACTATTTTTTATCCTAAAAGAGATGAAGTGTTGATAGTAGAAATGAAAAGTAAATGCTATCCAATTGATAGGAAACATACTGAACACAAAGCTTTTATCAGTTTGGTTGTTGATTCTGAGCTATGGCATAAGATGTTAGGACACATTAATTATAATTCATTGCAGAAGATGTCATCATAGGAGTTAGTAGAGGGTCTACCAAGGATAATCAAACTTGTAATAGTGTGTGGAATCTGTCAATATGGGAAGCAAAGTAGGCTTTTATTTCTAAAGGAAAGGAAATCAGAAGCAACAGAGAAATTGTAACTAATTCATATAGATTTGAGAGGACCTATGAAGATCTCTTCATCAAAAGGAAGTAGATTTTTTTACTGTTCATTGATGATGTTACCAAGTACAGTTGGATTTTGATTTTGAAATTTAAGTAAGAAGCTTTGCCTTGCTTTGTGAAGTTCAATAAGTAGGTTGAGAATCAAGTATCTAAGTCCATTAAAATATTGAGGAGTGATAATGAAAAAGAATTCATTGCCTTTGAGTTTGAAAAGTTCGTATCTCAAGTTGGAGTAATACATCAATTGGCTGTACCCTATAGTCCTCAGTAGAATGGGGTAGTTGAAATGAGGAATAGAACTATTATGGAAATGGCAAGGTGCTTACTATATCAGAAAAAATTACCAAAATCCTTCTAGGCTAAAGCTGCAAGTACTATAAATTATCTGTTAAACAGATCACAGACAAGAGTGTTGGAGAACAAGATAGCATATGAGACCTGGTTTGGTTATAAACCAAGTGTTCAGCATATCAAGGTATTTCGCAGTGTTTGTTATGCTAAAATACTAGATAGTAGAAGAACTAAGCTTGATGAGAAAAGCATTTTGGCAATATTTATAGGCTATAGTGACATTAATAGGCTATAAGCTCTATAATATTAAGACAAAATAGATTTTTGTCAGCAGAGACATCAAGTTTGATGAACAGTCATGGTGGAATTGGGATAAGCTAGTTGTTGAGAATTTTGGTAGTTCTGGTCAGACATCAATGGATGAACAGTGTGAGATTGACAATGATGAGGATATAAAAGCAGAACATCTGGCAGTCAGGGGTACCAAATCTTTGCAGGACATATGTGCAAGATATAATGTGGTAGTTGTAGAACTTACTTGCTACTATGAAGCAGGAAAAGATAATAGATGGCTAAAAGCTATGGAGCAAGAAATGCAGATGATAGAAAAAAATAGGACTTGGATATTGGTGGATAAGCCAGTAGATCAACACATCATAGGTGTTAAATGGATCTACAAAACCAAGCTCAATGCAGATGGTACTATCAACAAGTTTAAAGCTAGACTAGTAGTGAAAGGGTACTCACAAATTTATGGTATTGACTATTGTGAGACCTTTGCTCCAGTAGCAAGACATGATACCATAAGATTGCTCTCTGCCTTAGCTGCTTGAGAAGGATCGAAAATCCTTCATCTGGATGTTAAATCAGCTTTTTCGAATAGTTATTTGTCTAAGGATAATACCTCCAGCAACTTAAAGGCTTCATCACACCAGGTACTAAAGGAAAGGTATGCAAACTTGTGAAAGCATTGTATGGTTTGAAGTAGGCTCCAAGAGCCTGTTATGATCGAATTAATGCTTTTCTTATTGCAGAAGGTTTTGTTAGAAATCCAAATGAACCTACATTGTATGTGCACAAGTCAGTTGAGATTGCTATGGTTATAATCTCTATATATGTTGATGATCTTCTGATAACCGGTTTGGATGATACCATTATGATAGAATGCAAGAGAGAGTTGATGGCAGAATTTAAAATGACAGATTTAGGTGAAATGCATTATTTTCTGGGTATGCAGTTCATACAACACTCAGAGTTTATTTGTATTCATCAAGGCAAATATGCTATTGAGTTGTTAAAAAGGTTTCATATGGAGAACAATAAGGCAGTAGAGACACCTCTTGTTGCTAATTGCAAATTACGTAAGGATGATGGAGCTCGTGAGGCTGCAACTTCTATCTATAAAAGTATTATTGGTAGTTTATTGTATTTAACTGCTTCAAGACCTGATCTGATGTATCCAGCTAGCTTACTATCTAGGTTTATGCAAAAACCATCCTAGATTCATTTTTCTGTTGCTAAGAGAGTTCTAAGATACAATAAAGGAACAATCAATTTTGGTCTGAAGTTTGAGAAGAAGGATAGTGAAATTTTGATTGGCTATTGTGATAGTGATTTAGCTAGGAGCTTAGATGATTTAAGGAGTACCGAAGGTTACTGTTTTTCTTTTGGCAGTGCCATCTTCTCATGGAACTCTAAGAAACATGAGGTGGTAGCTCAATCCTTAGCTGATGCAAAGTATATCTCAGCTGCAGCTACTACAAACCAAGCTATATGGATTAGGAAGATTTTGGGAGATTTAGGATTTGAGCAGAAGATAGAAACTCCATTAATGATTGATAATCAATCATCTATTTCCATTGCTAAAAATCCAATTCATCATGGATGAACAAAACACATTAAGGTGAAATTTCACTTTATTAGATATGCACTAAGAGATGATGAGATTGCTGTTATTCACTGTGGAACAAATGATCAGGTAGCTGATATTTTCACTAAATGTCTAAACAAAGACAAGTTTCTTACACTAAGAGCTTTATTGGGAATCTGCAAAATAAACACAAAGGAGGTGTGCTGAAATCTGGTGCTTTATTTTGCAGCAACAGAGGTGATGAATCTCGATATATTCAAATAGAAAAAGACTTTAGCTACCGTTTTATTTCTTTACCTATGTCGGTTGGTGTCTTTAACTTGTTTAACTTTTCTTTCACTTTGTCCATCTGCTGTGGCTATTTACTTTTCCCACATGCTAGAATTCAGGTCTTAATTCATTATATCTTTTTCAAAACTACATCGTTTGAGTAGTTGAGAAATGACTTGTGGCAGGAAATATCTCACCATTCCCATAGCATCTAGAAGGTTGTAATGCTAAGTGGTTTCTCCACTAGCTGGCTCTTTTTTTATTTTTTCTTTTTTCTTTCGCCATGTATATAAAGTTTGTTACTGAGTATATGAAAGTGGCTATGCACATTGTTTTTGTGCTGACCTAATATTTTTCTCTTTCCTCATTCATTTATTCTTTTTGGCTCTCTTTTATCCCTGTTCTTCATATTTCCAGTTTATCAAATTTTCAAAATGATAGAGCTTTATGCAACACCACCTGGTGTTTGTTATTTAATTTAGCTTCAGTTCACCATTTCCTTTGAATTGGCTTGGATCATAAGCCACGTTTTATTAATTTGGGTGATAGTCGTACAATTCATAATAATGAAAGGTTCTTTTTCTAGGTTGCCTGGTTAATACATGCAGATTTTGGAAAATTGGAATAGAATTCTTGGGATCGCTCTAAAAGAATACAAGAAGCTTTTTCGATGTTTGCAAAAAAGGCCAAACATTGGAAAAGAAATGTGTTTGGCAACATCTTTTATAAAAAGAAACGTTTGCTAGCAAGAATTAGTGGTCTAGAGAAAGCATTGGAGAAGAAGAATTCTGGATAGTTAAGGGGCCTTGAATATGCTCTTTAACTTGAATATGAGATAGTACTTGGATAGGAAGAGATCTTTTGGATGTAGATGGTAAAAGCAGATTTATTAAAATCTAGTGATCAACATAATAAGTACTTCTATCTCAGAATGGCTTGTTGAAGAAATAAAAATAAAATTATAAGACTTTAAACACTAGATGGACAGTAGTGTGCTAATCAAACTACTCTCAAATCATAAGCAGTTGATTTTTATAGGAAATTTTATTCTAAGGAAGGGAGTTCTATTCCACAAAACCTAATTAGAGGTTGGTTCCCTAAACTTAGTCATTCTGCATTGGAGTTTATCCAAAGACCAATAAAAGACAATGAAGTTTATGAGGCACTTAGTGAGATGAAACCACTTAAAGCCCCAGGGATTGATGGTTTTCTAGTTTTTTTTTTGGCACATTAGATTATAGTAGGGCAAGATGTCATCAGATATGTTAGGGAAGTCTTTACCATTGGTGAGTTGGAACTAAATTTAGTAAGTCCATGATTACATTGATTCTTAATAATAGCTCTCTTGAAGCCTTTTCACAATTCAGATTGATTAGTCTACTGCTCGTAATTTTAAATGGCGATGAAGGTGGTAACAAATAGATTGAAATTGATTATGAGTGATTTAATGGGGGAGAATCAGTCTAGCTTCCTTCTTGGAAGGCACATCATGGATAATATCATTGTTGCATAAGAGGTGCATTTATTCCTTTGGAAGAAAACAAGGATAAATGGGGTGGATGACGATTAAGATTAACCTTGAAAAACATATGATCGTCTTAGCTGGGAGTTATCTATGACACTTTGGTTGATGCAAAAATATTGTACAGTGTGATTGACATAATTGTTCACAGTTGGAGATATTGCAGTTCTCAAATAATTTGGAATGAAACTTTATCGAATACTTTTATTCCATCTCGAGGTGTTCGTTAGGGAGATCCGTTATTGCCTTACCTCGTATTATGCATGGAGAGATTGGCAGTGAATCAAAGATTGTGGAAGCCCATAAAGCTTAGCAAAAATGGTCCTCCATTTACTCATCATTTTTGTTTTGGCAAATGATCTTATTTTATTTGCTAAAGCCACAATTGACTAACTAGAAGTTATTAAAAGGTTTCTAGATGATTTTTGTCGTTGCTCTGATGTAAAAGTTAACATACATAAGCTTTCTTTCTTTTGTTTTAGAATGTGAATCGAAGTATTATTGATGCATTAGTTGAATTTTCTAGTTTTACTTGTACCAATAATATCGAAAAATACTTGGCTATTCCTTTGATTTCTAGTAGGAGAACGAAGTTGTTATTTCAATACTTAGAGGATCAAATATGAAGCAGATTGAGTTCGTAGAAAGCTTCTACACTTTTTTCTACAAGCAGGCTTACCTTAATAAAATTTGTACTCTCTACGATCCCTTATTACACTATGTAAACATTGGCTATCCCAATATAAATATGTAACAGACTAGAAGCTCTTTGTCAAAATTTCTTATCGCGAGGTAATGGAAATTCTCAAAAAGTTCATCTTTTGCAATAGTGAGAGGTTTGTAAACCTAACGATGAGGGTGGTTATGATATCTGAAATTTGAGATTGATGAATAAGGCATTCTTGTTGAAAGTATGCTAGCAGTTAGTGGCAAAACCGTAAACTTTATGGGTTAAATTAATTTGTTCAAATTATAATAATGGTAGACATGCTTGTCTTGATACTCAGAATTTGGGTTTGTCTTCCTTTCAGCGTTCCTTATGCAAGGTATGACACATTTTTAAGAATGTTTGATGGGCTATTAAGGATGGGTTCACAGTTCGATTTTGGATGGATACTTGAGTGGGTGACAAACCATTGGTTGAAGTGGTAAAGCCCAGAAGCCTAATTTTTAATAATTATAGTTGTGTAAGAGATTTTGTAATGCCAGATGGGGAATGGGATTTTGAAAGTTTAAAGCATTACCTCTCTACAAAAACGATAGTGTTACTTTCAAAAAATATAGCCCCTTAAATTATGTCTATATCGGATAAGCTCTACTAGGCTTTGTCGTCATTTGGGAACTTTTATGTTTCCTTGGCTTATGACCATTTATGTGAACTGGAGCAAGGTTACTTGAACAATAATTTGAGCATGTGGCAACTGGCATGGATCAGAGAGAATCATAATGTTTTTAATACAATGCTTACATGATCGATTATTGACTAACAAGGAGAGATATCGAAGAAATTTGTTTAAAAATCTAAATTGTCAACATTGTTGCTTAGAAAATAAGTCAATTCTTCATATCCTTCGAGATTTTCTTGTGGCTAGTTCCGTTTGGACTCAAGTTTTACCTCCAAGAATGGTTGATTCATTCTTTAATCAATCTAATTTAGATTGGCTTTTTTCAAATTTGAATAATTCCATGACTAAGAAAAATGAAGTCCCATGGGCAGTGGTTTTTGGAACAACTTGTTGGTTACTCTAGAAATGGAGAAATGTATTTGTTTTTGAGAATACCTTTTATAATATTGCAAAGAAATTGTCACAGATATACAGTTTAGTGGCAGATACTCACATTGTTGAGTGGTTAAACTTTGATAATGGTCGTATTACTCCTAATACGAAGGATGAAATTCTTATAGCTTGGAAAGCACAACATGTAGATTGGATTTCTTTAAATACTAATGGTGTAGTTCGCATTTCCATTAGTCAGGCAATAGTAAGGGAGTTCTGAGGGATTGGACTGGACGATGGCAAGGTGGGCTGGCCATGAGCCTTCAAAAATGCTCTGCTTATCGTGCATACCTTTAAGGTGTATATAAGGGGCTTATCGTGCATAACTTTAAGGTGTATATAAAGGACTTTAATATGCATGGGAGGTTGGTTTTAGAAAGATTGATCTCCAAGTGGATAGTAAACTTGTTGTTCATGCAATATCGTCTTCATCGCATCATCCATGTCTTAATTATGACTTGATTCAGGCTATTGACATACTGCTCAAGAGACAATGGGTAGTCTAAATTAGTTATGTTTACAAGAAAGGCAATATTGCTATTGATCATATGGCTAAAGAGGGGTTTTTTATTGAAGAACATTTTGTAACCTATAATAGCCCACCTTCTGCTTGAGACATGTACAGGCAAATGATGTAATGGGTATTTCTTTCCCACGTTTAATTAGATAATAAAGTCATTTCCTTTTAAAAAATTACATAACATCTATTGTATTCCATTTATACTTTATTCTATTCTTGCATAATAATTATTTCATTTTTCATTATTTCATTACGTGATTTGCTAGTTCATTATGTGACATGTTTGATATGATCTTTTGTTCATATCTTTTAGGCATAATATCTAAAAGAGCTCCTAAGTTATTTAGAAAAACTTAAATAAGTCTTTATACTTTTATTACATTTAATTATGTCTTTATATTTTTATTTTAAGTCAAATAAGTAATTATAACTAGTGACTAACTTAATTAAAATGCTATTTGTCATTTTATATCACGTGGCATTGATACTGTATATTAACATATCATAACTTAACATACTAATTTAATATAATAACATGTGTTAAAATATCCCAATTGATAATAACTTAATATACTAATTTGATATAATAATATGATCACATGATATTTTTTAAATTTCATATCAATGTCATTTCAATGCCATGCAGATATAAATGATAAATGATATTTTGATTAAAGATAATTAGTCTATCATTAATCATAAAAGTTTATTTGACTCAAAACAAATATATGAATTTGGTTGAATGCAATTAAAAATAAAGATGTATTTGAGTTTTTTTAAATAGTTTATAGATTTCTTTGAGAATTGTCTATCTTTCATAGTTTTAATGCTTAAAATTTGAATTTAGTTTTTTTTAAAATTAAATTTAAATAAAAAATAAATAGAAAAGCTCACATTAATTTAATTTTGATGCCCGACTAGGGAGGGGCTTTTGCTAGCATGTAAAAAACTTGTAACAAAAATTAAAAAGTGACGAATAAAGATGATAAGAATTTCGGGCAAAGGGTAAGGAAGTCAGTACCTGTTGCAAACGACCATGAAGTCGCCAAAATTCCCATAAAGTATCTTAAGAATTTTAGGACTTACACCAAACAAGTTTGTTTTCCCATTTTACCCTTTAATCGCCCTTTAAATCACGTCCCTCTCCTTTTTCATAAGTCATCTCTTCTTGTTCTACCCAACAAGTTTCAACTCTCTCAAAGTCTCCTATCCTCTCAAAAATGGCAGCCCCAATCTCCCTCTGCCTTCTCCTGCTGGCTCTCTTCTGCCAAACCCATATCTCCTTTTCCACTACCGCCCCAGCAATCGACCACAGCCATCCGTTGAGCATCTCAACCCGGGATGTTCATGATCTGCTCCCAACGTACGGTCTCCCAAAGGGTATCCTTCCAAACAATGTAAAGTCGTACACTCTGTCAACCACTGGGGACTTCACCATAGAGTTGGAAAGCACGTGTTACGTTCAATTTGATCAATTGGTTTACTATGAGAAGAAGATCAAAGGGAAGCTAAGTTATGGAGCTGTGCATGATGTGTCTGGGATTCAGGCAAAGAAGCTCATCATCTGGTTGCCTGTTACTGGGATTGAGGTTGATGATAAATCTGGTATGGTTCAGTTTTTTTTCGGAGCTTTCTCTGAGAAGCTGCCCCCCAAGCAGTTTGAAGATATTCCTGTTTGTAAGGGCGACGCCTTTCTGAGGGCCGACCGTGCTTCTATGTGAATTGGGGTAATATTATCCTTCCCTTTCTTCAGTGTTTGGAATTTTCATGCTTTTTTTGGGCTCATTTCTTCTTTGTGAAGTTACATACTTGTAGACCTCGTCCTGGAAATTGAGTGTTAGTAGAATGGGATAATGCAGAGATGTTGGTGTTGCTGAGTTGGTTATTGAGATCGAATTTGGTTAGGTTCTGCTGTTGTAGGTATTGGGTGAGGTATATTGTAAGGGATACTCTGATTGGCAAATAATTTAGGGCAGGATTGATATTTGATAGCCATAATACGGATAAAATTAATGTTAATCATAGCCATAAATACAATGGAAAGATAATTTTCACCCTCGAGACCATGTATCAATTAATAATTTGATTGGCAATATGCTCTCTGAATCTATGGTAACTAAATCCTTCTATAATTGCTCTTGCTCCTTCGGTAGATTTCAAGACTAGCATAGGGAAGCTAGTTTGCTACCATTAGGATGTTGTGAAGATACTTAGGCATTGTAAAAGACACTAACTGTAACGAGATTTGAATCCCGTTAAAGTGAATCATCAATCTTGACAAGGTTGAAAACTTCACTAAAGTAAAAAATAGTTAAAATCTTACATTGATTGACTAGCCTAAACATACTAAAACATCTTGCTCTTTAGAAAATTTTAAAAAGAGTAACTACAACCTATTGCTCTTTAGAAAATTTAAAAAAAAGTCTAGAGATATAAGCATTTTTACTTAAGAAAGTATTTTTTTATTAATTCTCAATTTCAATGCCACATAACTAAGCTTAAGAGTCCTATTTATAGTATTATATGCTCAAATCTTAATAAAACTCTACTTCAGGTTGTCTAATACAATTATAGTAGTTAACAAGATATTTAAATAAAATATAACAAGACTAGCCTAATCAAATAATAGTCCTTAAGAGCATTAAAATCCTATAAAAATAAGAAAAGAATTTCAATCTAAATAGAATAAAGAAAATAAATCATAAATCAACTAAAATTAAAAAAAACCAAATTAAATAAACTAGAATTTTAAACGCTCCAGCGTCATTCTCTTCGGGTCAAAAAAAAAACTCGACTCCAACGAGTAGGCCTTGACATACTTCTTATAGATGTTTGGATCCACATAGTATGATGGTCTACACCAACAATTTGAATAATTCATCCATAGTTTTGAAGGTTGTTTTTCATTCATCTCCACCTTTCATTCTAATTTGATGATATCCATTCTTCAAATCCATCTTCAAATGCACCTTGGAACCAACTAGTTGATCAAGCATCTCATCCAATCAAGGAATAGGAAAACGATACTTAACTCTGGTCTTATTTATGGTATGGCTGTCCACACATATCGTCCATGAATCGACTTTCTCTAACAAAGTTGGGCAAGTACAAGGACTTTTACTTTCACGTACTAGGCTTTTCTCCAACACCTCGTTAACTTGTCTTTGTACCACTAAAGACTCACCTTTGTGTGTGATGAACATTAATTTCCTCTATATCTTTATCATATTCATCATAAATCGACTTTAATTCCTCCCAATCTAAATAATCATCTTCATCACTTAATTCATCACTAAAGCTGCAATTGTTGATTTGAGCAACATCACGTCTTGCAAGTTACTTTTGTAATTCTTGAATTTGATGACGTAGTTCTTGAATCTTGATCTCGTGATCATTTATTTGGCGATTTTGACGTTTTGGAGGCATTTTGCTGTTTCAACAAGGGAAGTCGAAACTAGAAACGACAAGAACCTGAGTTACATAGCGAACAATGATCCTCCTATTCTGATATCAAACTAATGATAAGGTGTTATAAAGACATTTAGGTATTGTAAAAGACACTAATCATGGTAAGGCTAGAAACCCAATTAAGGTGAATCACCAATCTTAGCAAAGTTGAAAACCTTACTAAGATGAAAAATAACTAAAATCCCGCTTTGGTTAGTTAAGCTAAAGATACTAAAACCTCTTACTCTTCAAGAAAGAGTTTAGAGAAATAAGCACTCATGCTTAAGAAAATATTCTTTATTAATTCTCAACTTCAATGTCTCATAACTAAGCTTAAAGATCGTATTTATAGCATTATAGACTCACATCCTAATAAAACTCTATTTTAAGTTGTCTAATACAATTAGAGTAATTAACAAGAGATTTAAATAAAATACAACATGATTAGGCTAATCAAATAATAATCCTTAAAAGTATTAAAAGCTTATAAAAATAAGGAAATAATTTCAATCTAAATAAAATAAAGAAAATAAATCCTAAATCAACTAAAATTAAAAAAAAAACTAAATTAAATTAGATAAAATCTTAAACACTCTTGCGCCACTTGCATTGACATTTAACATCATGAATAAAGTTTAAATCTGTACTCCAACTCTGTGGAAGCACAACTTGACTCTTCATTTGACTATTTTAGTTTAAGGTATACTTTTATGTAAAAGCTAATGTGAATATAAGTTCATGGAACCTTGTGTATAGTCATGTCCAGACATTTTGCAGCTAATTCAAGTCCTAACATAACTGCAGGCTGTCCCTTTATTCATTTGAAAAAACATTTATGCCTCTCTTCTAGTACCTCGAAGGAGGGAGTGAGCAAATGGGTGAATTGGATGGTTTAGTTTACCATACTTAAAGACCAAATGGACTAATCATTTTTGTAAACCAACCAAAATCGACCAAATATAAAGGAGGATCAAACCAACCAAATATAAAATTGATTTGGTTGATCTGATTTTGGACCAATGGACCAAAATTTTATCATTTTTTTTTCACAAATTATAATATCAAAACTTATAAACTTCATTCATAATTTTATATATATATATGAAATTAATAATATAACTTATATGTTCTAATGTTTTATATCAAAGTTTGTATAAATAAT